TGTTGACAAAAAAAAATAAATAAATAGATAAAAACTTACCACACTGTGGACAACATCCTCCAGGTGGTGTCACTCCCACACACCTAGGGGGCAGCACAGGGCAAGTCACAAGGTCACAAGAGGGGCCAGAGGTCATTGCCTCAGTAGTTAGGTGTCCAGTTGTGATACAAGGTCCTGGGTAGTCAACGGTGACCCTTTCTCCCCAAGCGGCACATTCATGGACATATGTCTCCCCATTACTGCCACAGACTTCTCCATGCACAACACAAGAATTCTGGAAAATGGATAATTTTTGTAAATTTGACTTTAGAATGAATAACTGATGGAAACAATAAACAAATAGTTTCATTTGTCAATAGCTAATAGAAAAACCAAATGAAGTTAACCAGCCAATATTGAAGGAAACAAAAAATCTCCCATTGTCACCAAGCATCACACATATGGGACAGCAGTATTAATAATGAGAGATTGGTGAATTGAGCCGAGGCTCATAATCACCACACACTGAGGAAGGTCACATCTTGACTTAAAGCTTTGTTAGGTAGAGCTTCAATTTTATGTAAAAAGTGGAAAGTTTGAACTGATGACTTTTGGCACTTAAGTTGCCTACTCACCGTGCAGTGGCCCCAGTAAGCCAGTTTCTTCCCCTGTTGTAACAACAGACACAGATTTGTATGTTCTCTGCCTTCTGTGTCGCACACTGGATCATGCTTGTGGTGACTACAGACTGTGGTGGACACTGAAACATAGAAGAATATCACAATATTTGCTTTTCTATCTCTCTGTGTACATGAAGGTTCTCTGTCTCTCTCTCTCTGTATATACGAGTGCAGTGGTAAATGCTATAAAACTGTGATGAGCTTTTGAAACTGCATCTGTCCCTTAAAACAGAGCCGTTCCATGCATTTTCAATTGAATGAACTTCACTTGTGTTTATATATGTATGTACTGCGTCATGTATATATACGGATTTCACTTTTTTCATTCACATTTACTTGGTGCTTATTATACATATTCCATTTCCTTTGCATTGCACCTCCTTGAAGATAGCCAGTGGGCTCCACAAAGTATCAGATATACCTACACCATCATTGTATAAGAGGTTACACACTCACTATGCCATTGTGATAGGTGAGTCATTGCAATTGCCCTGGTTGTGACATCCTTATTGTGTTAGGTGTGCCAATCCCATTGTTTGGGCTGTGACTTCCACTATACTTACCACAATCATACTGTACCACAGCCTGATGGGAGCTCATGCTCTCTTTTTTTCTTGGCACACACACCTCCTCCGCGGCACAAGGATTGTTTGCACAGGGATTCTGTTTGCTACATGCGCCTGGTTGGATCTGGCTGTCCCTGAGGCCCAAACATCTGAAAATGTTACAAAGCGTGGATGAGTTTTACATATAAAGATATAAAGAATGTAAAATATTATTTATGATCCAAAGTAACAAATGATAATACATATGGATATAAGTATTGTAAGTTTTTCCCCCATTTATGTTGATAATATCACAAGCCCTTGAACTTTCCTGCATGAGTTTTGTTTAATTTACATAGCCTAATTTTTCTTACAAACAATGTTAATCATTTATTTTGAGTTGCTTAACATTATTAATGTACTTTTTTCCTTTGAAATGATTTCTTTAAAATATATAACAACATGAAAACAAGACAATAAATTCAAACTTTGAACATTTCAATATCATACACCACACAACGATGAACAAAAATCTTACTTTGCCACACAAGAACTTGGATATGTTTTCCCATTTGCACCACACACAGGGACATACTGGATGTCACAGTTACAAGGCAAACCGGTGTAGTTCTGCTTGGTGGCCAAGGATGCCCAGGGGCTCAGACAGTGTTTTTGTGTGCAGACCATTTCACCAGACACACACGCACATTTATTGCACTCGGAAGTAAATATGCTACCATGTTCTGAAAAAAAAAAGGTATAAATCAACATAATTAAGATTTCAAATAACACATATTGAAAATGTCTGACAAAAAATTGTATTAATTACTTATATAATCAATTTAACTATATGGATGTAATATTAATATAATTAAAACATTTTTCTTACTTGTAATAAATAATAAATGGGGGGGGGAGGGGTATTTAGAAATAATAAAGTACAGTTCCTTTCTCGATCAAACTATGTAGAGACATGACATCACCAAAAATTTGTTTACTGGCCATACTAGATGCTATTTTAATCTAAAATGCAACCTCTGTCCTGCAATTTTCAATTGAGTTCTAAGCAACATCAGTGCTAATGCTCAAATGTTTAAACTTTTCAACAATACTACCAATTTCTCCTTTCATGATGCTAGTTCAATGTAAATGACAATGATTCACAAGAAACAAAGTTGTTGTATAACTGGTGCATAATCCAAAATATGAAAATATACAGCAAGTTATGTGGTTAAATCAATATCTACTCAGTTGGGTACTCATAGCTGTGTTCACAACCAGTTGAACTGTGGATTAACTGATCCATGGATCAAATATAGATGAACCACTTTAAAGCTAGCCATACAATCCCAGCGACGAATCCATTAGATTATGCCTGAAGCCTTTGAGTGGGTCGGCAATATTTGATCTGCAGATCAGTTAGTCCACGGATCAACTTGGTTGTGAATGGAGTCTAAGATTTCAGTCAAACAGCTTCTTGTTCATGTACCTTTTATCTCTTTTTTCTGTTCTCCCATTAAACAGATCATAGTCTTGGTGCAGGGCAATGACTGACACTGGTCCAGAAGGCCTCGATGACCACATTTACAGACTTTGAAGCAGTTCGTCTTTCTGCTCGGGTCTGGCACGTGCACGTACATGTTACGTGGGACATATAATGTCGACACTTCACCCATTGGGCATGCTTTAAAAGAAGAATAGTAAGTAGGGCATTTAACATACAACATTTATACAACATAAATTTTACACAGTAAAGTGGGGAATCTATTATGGAAACATCTTATAAATCATTATTTTCCTGTACCCAGCAAGTTGACAAATTCATCATCATTGGCTGCCATCCACTCTCAGCAGGTTGACTGTCAGGGATCCCCATGCCTCTCACCATGAGTATAATTTTACTCTAATTTTGATTGTTAAGTTGACAAACTAACAGAAGTGAAATATAAGCTCACCTGGTTTACACACGTAAGGTTTACACCTGTCAGGATGTTTACACTTGCGCCTGTTCACTTGGCACACCTGGCTCTTGTTACAGGGATTGGGATGACACAGGCTCGTCACTTCTTGGTGTACAGGGATGTGGGGGCTTGGAGCTGAAAGAGAACAGCAATAGTTTTTTTAAATATATATGTGTGGAAACTATGATCATACTGGGTTATCCTGCTAAAAAAATGTTAGAGCTGCATCAACAATGTCACATTTTGTGGAATACTTGCATGCTTCTGATTTGTCCCATTAGTTTTGCTGCTTAACAGTTCTGAAAATATTACATTTAATGCATGAGACTGACTGAATGATAAGACTCAGATAGTCACTTTTTGTCTATAAATAAAGAAACAGAAAAAAAAGCTATCAAGAAATCAGAATTCATTTCTCAATAATAAAATCTTAATCCCTTCATATTTACCTAGATATTTTGCCAAAGAAATGCATTCACTGGAGTTATCGACAGGCGAGATCATGTTACAGATGCCCTCTGGTGTCTGTCCCCGCAAGCGTGATTGGTCCACACATGTATGTATCATTTCAAGACAGTCAGACCTAGAAAGGCGACAATGAGACATAATCAATACAATGGGCAACAATGGCCAATAGCTTGGTTCACATATGTGATATCACATTGCAATAAAAACTTTGAAATACATACCAAGACATGTTATGTGACAGTGGCAATACCCATTTGTTAAGTTTTAGGGGGTGTTTTTTTTTTTTTTTTTTTTTGGTGAAATATGAGTACTTTCTCTCAGCATGCCACACTCTTGCAAAATATGCCATGAATGCCTTGGTGACACTGAATTTTGGCATATGTCCCTCAGGTGACAGAATATTGTCTCATACTTAAATCTGCATGTGTGTGTGTGTGTGTGTGTGTGTGTGTGTGAGAGAGAGAGATGCGTGTGTGTGTGTGTGTGTGTGAGAGAGAGAGAGAGAGAGAGACTCACTTACCTGCACACTGTGCTGGCATGGGAGCCACTTCTGCAAGGTTTGATCTGCAGGGCACAGGAGATGGCTTTCCACATTTCGGGCTTACATCTCGTTATATCTGTGATAAAGAAAATATTGCTATGAGATTTCTTATAAAACAATCTTCAGTATGACGTCAAATATTGTAAAACCTGATAAATTCCTACTACGATCAATGATGGTATTCCGTAGACATTCTGTAACAATTAAAAATCTTGAACAACATTTAAAAGCCTTTAAAATCACCCCGCTTTCTTCATAGCAGGCATAAGTAGAACCGATACCATACCTTTGAGAGGAATACTAAGATGGGCTTGAGGTAGAGTTATCAGTCCTGTCTTCCACGAGTCAACATTGGTCTGTGCCACTTGGTCTGCCCTTCTGTTGCAGCTGCGGAATAATTCCGTGGGACGGTGGTTGAAGTTGCTGCAGTAATCCAGCCCACTACAGCCCTGGGTGCAAGGTTCATCAACTGCAGAGGCAAAAAAATTAGGATGCAATCTTATTCAAAACTTAATTATTTCAATATTTCCCATTTTGGTTACCTATATTAAAAGGAAGAGACAAAAATCTGACTCCTATAGCCATCTCAGCTTTCAGAATGTTATGATCCCAAAATATCCTAAAACATTATCAAAAACTTACTTCACAGTAATACTTCTGTATAAATTTTCTACAACACTAATGAGACATTATCAATATCACAACACCTCTAACCTCTTGATGCATCAAGGACCTATATTCATGTGAAATTTATGCATTTTTGTTAGGCCTTTGTAATTGCATTTTACATTACTCAAATTGTTAACTTATCATATTAAAGATACATCCCATAATATTCTGACCCACATCCTGGTACTTACCCTCAGCTATACACATCATCATCTCCTGTTCTACTTGTTGCCTAAGACACTGGGTGAAGAAACTATTGTAGGTGTCGGACCACCTTTTACCATACGACTGAAAAAAAAAAATTGGGATAAGTGATACAAATTCTCACACATCCAATTTGAAAAAAAAAAAAAAAATGTAACAATAAAGCAATAAAGGTGCACAGCTTTATCTGCAGGGAGTCCATGGGCCATAAATACAACACCAAAACATCTGCATTTTCAGATAAATCCAGAATTTAAAACAACTCACCTCAATGCATAGGTCTCTACATGATTTTAGTGTTGCCTTGGCACAACACTGTAGTTTGGCGCTGTCGATGCCCGTGTCGTCTATTACACTTTCCTTCACCTGCTTAACGTCATTGTCAACCGATTTTGATAGGAAACACTGCCACATTGGATCCTAAGAGGAGAGAGAAATGTAATATTTTGTAACATTTCTCAGAATCCTTGAAACCTGTTTATAAATCTTTAACATATTCCATTATTTCACAACTGATGTAGCTAGAAAATATTTCCATGCTGTTGGTCCTTGGATTGAGAATTTTTCAAAATGGTCTCTGTGAACAATTTTACTAAATCTTTCAAACCCAGAAGATAAACATAATCTTGGTGACAAATGTAATTTGTATCATGACAAACTAAGTATAGTATGAAGCATAAATCTAGTCTGATAAATTCACAATTTTTGAAATACTGTGAACTGCTACATGTAACAAAATTTTCTCAACTATCACAATGAAAGCACAATCTTAACCAAATAAGAGATCAATCCCTATTTTCTAATTTTTGGAAAGACACTGGAAAGGACAAAAATCACTTACAGTTTACCTAGTACACTGCAACACAGTCGTAGAAGAGATAAACAGTTTTCCAAAAATAAATTTATCCCCCATCCAAATATGTGTTTTCCTTACTGCGTGGATGCGGATGAATGCTCCAGTTGAGAAAATAGCTGTTATTATTTTTTCTTTCATGTTATTTGACGCAAATGCCTGAAGCATTACACAGCAGTACCAGAGAAATCAACAGAAACTTCCATTAATCATAACATGCCAAACATTAGCTAATGGTGAATATGAACTCTGATAGGGACTTTGGCATTGCAGACTGACATGAAAAATGTTTAAGTCGTTAATTTAACATATATATCTCTAAAAACTAATGACAGTGCTAAATAGTAAAATAATGCTCCAGAAGTCAAGTCCTTTTTTATTACATCCTAGACCAAGCAAGAGTAATTTCTGAAGAAAATAGATTTTTATGCCAAATCTTTAATTATTTAGCAAAAGCTGCATTCACGAAATTCTGAGGCAATCCCTTTACAAGAACACAAAAAGAAATTAATTTCCTGCAAATATTTCTTGTTAAACTGCTGGGTTTAATGGTGCACTTAAATCTGAAGAAGTCCTTGACCCCTTAATGCTTATTGCACGAGGGGTGCATTAAAATTGACCCTGCCCTGCTCCAGAGATCGTTAAGGGTCCTTATAAATGTTGGGGCACACCTGAATTTCCAAAGTTAAATCATACTTGACATTTGGAACACTTCTAGAACAATAGACGCCTTGGCAATTACTAACTCCGCCATGATTTATGAATCTTAACTTTCTCTACAATTAGACGGAGATGAAAGCAAGTTGTACTCATTTATTTCAAACTTCAAATAAATCTCAACTCTGAAGACCTTCTTTCCGTCTTAAATCTTACAACTTTGGCTAATTATTCCTGTTTTTCAACTTAATGATCAGAACAGCGCTCTCCCTCTAAGTTTGATAACTGAGGCTCGCAACTTCAAAATCCGTCTTAATCCTTTCCCTATGTTGATGTACAACAACAATATAGGGTAAAAAAAATGCCCCTTTCCCCCCTCATTCTACTGCTAACATAGAAAACAACTTGTAACTAATTTTCAGACTTTAAAAGTGGTATGGTATCAATTAATATCATCAATTTTATTCATTTTCAATTTCTTACTATTTTTATGCCTACAGTAACATTTAAGATCACTCACAATAGGGTTCACTGGACTTTGGCACTCGTCAATCAGTGTTTCCACAATTTCCTGCTCTGTTTCCATGGAAACAAGAACACGTCTGCAAATTTCTTTGCAGCTTTGGCTTGGCGCTTTATCACAGCAATGTAAACCTGGAAAAAAAAATGATACAATCATGGCTAACAGCGTTTTTTCTTTTCTCACCTTTTTAAACCTACTAAATAATTAAGCATCTGTTTAAAATCTACTAAATAATTTAGCATCTATCTAAATGTCACACAGAATTAAAATAAACGAATTATTTATCCAACTTGGGAAGGCGAAGCACCTTTTAGCAAAACCAATGCCTGCAAAACTGCACTGAGAAGAAATCTAGTTAAACTGATCTCATAAACTTCCACCACAATGAAGTTGGTGATATTAAATTAATACATTAACTGAAAATTTATGTGTACATTTATGTACACACAATATGCATTGGTATGTAAAGGGGGGGGGGGAGGGGGCTAAAAACTCACTTTCTTCTGGTCTATTAACTTGCGTAGGCTGCGTTGAATTTGTCACGCATGCTAAGACACGTGGATTGTCGTTGCTGCAATGCTCATTGACAGACTGTTTTTGTTCTCTGGACGGTGAGGTCTCGCCAACGAATAATGCACGGCATGTGAGCTTACAGTCCAAACTTGTGGCATAGGCACAACAGGTGTCTCCCTCTATAGTAAATGAAAATAATGAATTGATGTGAGTTATTTCCATTCAATACAAAAGTCTGACAATATCTGATTCTCTTTGAGATGTATCCTTATTTGATTGATTTGTTTATGGGTTATATTCCATAATTCTCTACAAGTCTTTACAAGTCAAAGGTTTCCAGTACTTACAGCAATATTAAATAACCCCTGAAACCCGACACTTTTCATAGACACTAGCACTAGTGGCAAAACAGTTAAACAAAATTTGGCCTTCCTTTTCAAAAGCTAAAAGCTGCTGCTTATAATATTACTATATGATTTCATAAAGAGGACCCCGACTGGTGACACTTAATTTTCAACACAATAGTGCATATAATAAATCAATCAGAATTGTGCACATAATAAACCAATCAGAATCATGGATTTATGACTTACTCTGCTGTCTTTCTATACAACTGTAAAACAGCAACTCATCACTTTGTCTGCACATCAAGTCAGCTATAGAGCCAGCCTAGAAACAGAAACAAAAATATTTAAAAATATTTTTTAAGTTTTAAAAAATATGTAATACTCCAACATAATTGTTACCGCCACTGTTGCACTGAGGCAAGAACAGTAAATACTGAAGATTTTTCCTTAATAGCAAAAAATTTTTTTTTGTACTTGAAATGACTTTTTTACTTTAAATTTGAATTACCTTTCTTGACTACTAGTATGACTAAAGTAGAATTCTTTGCCAGTATACTTTGTTCAAAATAATCGTAGCAATGGAGTCATATCTTGAAATTCTACACATAAAACTCGCTTCCAAATCATGCCACAAAATACCCCATAGATCTCAACAAAATGCCAGCCATTTCATAACTGATACATGACATCATACACTTTCAATACATTCTTACATTCAAGTTCAGTTCATTTTCACTCTCATGGACCTATGGACTCCACCAAAGAGGTTATTCATCAAGAAATAACAAAGATAGAAATTTGCCATCTTCACAAATTGAATTCTCTACAACTTGATCATCTCTGCAAAAAGATCATTAATGAACCCTGCTTTGATCTGTGGCAATTTTCCATCAATCAGCCTTTGGTCCTCTTCCTGCTAAAAAAACTGGCAAGCATGCATTTACAAGAGTCAAAACCCTGTGATGAATACATCAGTTGTGTAATCAGTGATGGTAATAAGATGTCAAATGGTCATTAACAATAATTTTTGCCCTACATCTTAAATCTATCAGCGCTTGGATCTATTTCCCTGTAAAATGAACAAACTGCACAAACAGAACATAAATGGAGGCATTCTGAAACCGAGTTTCATGTCAGACATTGCAGTATTAATTCAGTCTTTTTAGACAAAACAAAGGTTTTGAGTTTTTGACCCAAGATTTTCTCAGGGGGTTTAGGAGGGATTGCATTCATGTTCTGGATCTGGCCAAATGTGACTCAAAGGCCCCATGAACAGAACAGCATACTTGGACTGTTCTAAGGACAACCTTTTCATTTAAAATATTTGTGGGGATGAAAATTTCAATTTGAAATTATTCTTGCCTGTTTGTTAAAAACAACTTAATAAGTAAAAAAGGCAGACAGTAATTATGAGGGTAATGAAGATAGTTAAAGATGATCAAGTTACGAGCAGGAGTGGTTGCAAAAACATTGATACATAAAAAAAATTTAAAATCAATGTTTCAATTCAACTATCTCATACAACTATTACTAAACATGTTGACAATAAGCTATACCAGGACTCCAAACTGAAACCCACATCAGGCCCGTAGCCAGCAATTTCAAAGGGGGGGTTCTTTTTCTGAAAAAGTGGACCTTTTACCATATAATCCAAATGTACATGTACCTAGGTCAAATTTAACACAGAGTGGACCTTTTTCCAGCAAAAAGGGGGGTTCTTTCGAACCCCCCGAACCCCTCCTGGCTACAGGCCTGCACATGTTCAGCACACAACAACAACAGAGTGAGCATGTGACACCCAGTCTATATAGCCCTAAACCAAGCACATGTCACAGTTCCTCTCACATGTTATCACAGTATGCTCTCTCTCTAAAAAAGTGTTGTCTTCCTCACTTGTCTGTAACCTGGAGACAACTTCCTGCTGACACAACTTCTCATTTTTGACAAATTTATTTTATCTCTTATAGCACTTGACACAGTATACCCTGTCATGCTGATAGTGCTTCACTGACTGGTGGTAGGGACCATTCCCAGACCCTATTGTACTAACTCTGGATCGATCTACCTCCAAGGGGATTCTTGCTAGATTGTAATCAACTGTCACGCCTTCTGAAGCTGCTAGGGGGTAATTAATTATTGTTTATCAGCTTCAGTAGGCATGGCAGCTAGACATCTAAGCTGCTTAAACAGAAAGCAATTAAGCGAGAAACCCCTTGGCAATGGATCGATCCTGCTGGATCAATCTAGGTATGGAAACCCAATTGTAGGCTAGCTGCACTGGCTTACTTACAGATTGGACTAGTGCTTCTCGCTGGTTCATTGCAGCTTTAGAGACAATAAGATTTAAAGGTCTTTGGTATCGAACTGCACACAATATTAGGTCTGCCTTTTTGTTATTACTATTTTTTTGTACCTGTTTTGTTTTAGTTGAAGAGCTTTTTGTGATACCCTGAATTTTGGGGATTACTAGAGACTAACCGAAGACATGCTGCTTATAGAATATGGTTTCGAGTGATCAATGAAACTCGAGGTTGCTCTGCAAGTGGGCATTGGCACTACACAATAGTGCATATAAGATCTTTTTCTTTGGTTCTCTGTTTTTTTTCTCAGACTATAATGTGATAAAAAATAACAATTTCACCATCTGATAACCATTGAGTTGATCTTCCTGTTTATGTTGGCGAAGAAGAAAAAAATATCACATTACATTTATTATAAAAAAAAAGTAATGTTCCAACAATTGGTGTGATTTTCATAAATTTTCAGAAGAAAAAAGGAAGCATTTTATCATAAATCATCAAATGAAAAAACATTGGGCACAACCAACTTGTTTGAAATTTGTGATTAATTATGGCCGACACTGCAGGCATGGGTGGTAGTTGTCACACATTGCTAATCTCCCACTAAAATAAGATGTCTCAGTCAGATAGGCTACACTAGCATGCAGAGCCTAATGCTTTTATTTTTCTGACCCCAATTTGACTCAAAGAATGGAAGTTTTTAAATTCTCTTTCCCAATGAAACTTTTGTTCAGACTTCAATGTAGATGGATCCATATGCATGGGGACTCTCGCAGAATGCAATCATATTAACAAATAAACATGTCCCCTCTTTGTTTTCAATAATTTGTTTAAAAAAAATCACCAACTTTTCTTTCCTGGCCTTGGGTAGAATACAGAACAGCTTGAGATTATACAAGAACACTGGAATAAACAAGGAGGCGTGGTGGTATATGATTCTGTTTATCTGATTGCATTCAGCAAGAGTCCCCATGCAGATGGAACCATCTACATAGCATGGTAGTTTCATTGGGAAAGGGCCCTTAGAAGGTTATTAGTGGTTTTATCACTATTTGGAACGACCTTGAAGGAGGGGTGGAGCAACCTTACCTATCACCTAAACTTAAAAGACCAATATAATAAATGTTTAGATCCGGTTTTAGTGTGGTTTTAATTTAGTTTGATAATCAAGAGTTAAAATTTGTCAGTTACAGTCTAGTTTAAGGTCAGAACCCAATTAAAACCATGGCAGAACGTGTGTCGGGGGGGGGGGGGGGATTCTGCATCCAAGGTATTTTTCTTTGGATAAAATTAAAAATTGAGTTAATATAAATATCTGATACTTAAATTTTTTTCCTTTTATCCTTTATCTCTTACACAATAAATCAAAGCTGATGTTAGGATTATAAAAAATCATTTCGATGTATCTTACTATGTATTTCCTTTAATTTTTTTTATGCTGAAGTGGTAATGCCAAAACACAATGGGCACAGTATCTTATTTCCTTTTAATTTTTTATACTGAAGTGGCAATGCCAAAAACAATGGACATACAAGCAATGAAAGGTGGCAGGAAGATACACGAGCCATGAAGGAGTTGGTATGTGTTACTTCCCATGAGACTGCAATGCCAAAAACATTTAAAGTCCTTGCTTTTTCCAAGGCCGCACTCAGAAATGTTTTGGTTATAACGTATCGAGTGAAACTTCAGGAGGCTAGCCTATGGAAAGTCTAAATTGTGTTAATTTTTCACAATCCCCTGTTATAAGATCTGCAAAATTACTGGTGGTAGGGAACTAGAGCCCCATTCACACGTACATGGTTAATCGAGATTAAGGGAATCGCGATTCTAATGCGCTTAGCTAAATTCACTTTTTTGCGTTCACACATGTAAAAACGAAATCGCGATTTACCTTGCTAGATCTGGTAATTGCAACTGTGCTCGCTAGGGGAGTCACGGTATATCCTGTTGAAAGTGTCTCGTGTGAATGGGGTTTAGATTAACTGCTGCAACAAGGTTGAAGCTCAGTATCTATTTCCTAAAGAGGTAACTTGAACATGTTTAAGTCAAAACTGCTCTGAATTAGACCTAAAACATGGTCTAGGCTAGTATTTGCCATTTCCTTTGTAAGTACAATACAAGGGTTACTTTCCCTTGTTCTTTTACAGCGTGCTCCACTTCCAACACAAGCCTCTGTTAATCAAGACATAGAATGTCTTTAGTTTGCCTTGAGGGGGAGGCGTGATATAAAGTCCCCCTCTTTTGGTATGAAGACAATGCAACACAAGATTTAAAAAAGTCCTGTCAACAGTTATGGCCATTTGCGACATGTTCCTTGATTACATTTTTTTTAAAGAAAAAGGGTGACTTGGTTGCTGTTAATTGTGTTAGTCTGTATACAAAGAGAGAGAGAGAGAGAGAGAGAGAGAGAGAGAGAGAGAGAGAGACTGTCTTCACAGGGAGCTTCTTTGTAATTCATTATTTAAACGGAAAACTAGCAACAGAAGCTAACTTCCAAACTTCACACACACACAGACACACACAGATTAATAAACTAATTTCATTCTAATGACCTGAGAGTAAATAGCATTTATTCCAAGTATGCTCATAGCAATCAGTCAATTATACATCTTACAATTGCATTTCCTTCATGTTTTAAGGACAAGTGGTTTAAGGCGTTCGTTCAGCTCCAGTTCTATTCGATAGCTGAAGTTTTAAACCACTTGAAGGAATAGAACCCACATAACTTTTCTTCTTTAAAACCCTATATCTTTGATGAAATCTCCAAATGGCATCAAACACAGAGTTAATTCATAGAAACGTACCAGCAAAAAATCGAACTTAGGACTTCACAGGCATGTGCTTGCTCTATATCTGAATAAGCAACATGTGTTTGTTCTTTAACATAATAAATCTGTACTAGTTTTTTTTAAGGTAAAAAAAATATGGGTGGAATGAAAGTGCAGTCAAAAGATCGACAGATTACAGCTTGTTAAGAGACAACGAGCCAAGCTACAACAGAATGGAGAAAGATGTGAAAGAG